CAGTAGTGGAGTTTGAACTCCACCAGTCCTTTTTTGTGAAGGATTTTTTTCAAATAGGGTCTTGCAAACTATTTGTCTGGGTTGGCTTTGAACTGCAGTCCTCCTGATCTCTGCCTCCTGCGTAACTAGTATTGCAGGTGTGAGTCACTGGCTCCTGGTTAATGGGACTTCTTTGTTGACCACACACACACAAAGTGAGGGTTGGGCATGGTGGCGCATGTGTATAATTGCAGCCACTCAGCAGATGGGAGGATTGTGAGTCAAGGCCAGCCTGAGTAAAATCACCAGCAAAAAGGACTGGGAAGTGGCTCAAGTGGTCGAGTGCAAGCATGAGCCTATTTGTGATTTCCTGGTGGAGTTAGAATGACAGGCATGTGCCACTGCACCCAGCCATTGCTTGAGATTAAATCTGATAAAGTTATTGCCCAGGCTGACCTTGAACCTCTATCCTCCTGACCGCCACCTCCCACATAGCTAGGATTACAGACTTGAGCCATTATGCCTGGTCTCTACATCTTGTTATAAGGACACCAGTTTTTAGGGCCACCCTTACTATCTCGTTTAACCTTAATTAACTCCTTCAAAGGTCCTATTTGGAAATATAGTCGCATTGAGAGTGAGGTCTTCAACACAGGAATTGGGGGGGAAGCACAATTGAGCCCATAATATGAGCTGCAAAGTGTCTGGTATAGCTGGGTGTGGTGGCATGATCTACTGGATTGGGTGACGTGGAGACCCTCACCCTGACATCCAGTAAGATCCTGTAGCTGGCACCTGAGTAAACAGACATCCCCAGCTGGATGGACCTTGATGGTGAGGACAAATTTCCCACCAGTGCTTTTTATCACATTCTTTCTTTGCTATCTTTTCTGGCAGCAAATCTGTCCCCTTCCTTATAAACACTTTACCTTCTTTTAGGGGGAGAGGAAGAGTGAGATAGGGTCATGCTGTGTAGCCCAGGATGGCCTGGAACTCAAGATCCTCATGCCTCAGCCTCCCGAGTGTTGAGACTGCTGAGATTACAGATGTGCACCACCTTGCCCAGCTTTCACCTTCTCTTGTATTAATTTATTTTTTTAACTTTCTCTTTTAAAATGTTACTGTATTACCATGAATTTAAATTCTCCTCTCTCTCTCTCTCTCTCTCTCTTTCTCTCTCTCTCTCACTTTCTCCCTCTCCTTCTCCCTCTCTCTCTCTCTCTAAACACCCTCCTTGCTATAAAGATTTTAAGCCATGTGAAGTTCCTGGTGCCGCTCCCTCAGTCCTTTAGTCTGCAGCATGATTTGTATTGTCCTCAAATGATACTGAAAGACCAGGAGTCACAAAGATGCAGCAGACAGTACAGGAACCATCTTGGGAGCAAGCGCTAACCTGGAATTCTGGAATTTATCTCATATTTTTGTTTTTGTTTCCCCACATTATCAAGTTTTTCTGCCTGCCTTCATCTGCAGTTTCTTGTTTTAGTTCACTTCTTTTTCCTAGGACAATTTTTTTTGGTACTGGGATTTGAACTCAGGGCCTACATCTCAAGCCACTCCCCCAGCCCTTTTTGGTGATGAGTTTTTTCGAGGTAGGGTCTCACAAATTATTTGTCCGGGCTGGCTTGGAACTGTGATCTTCCTGATCACTGCCTCCTGAGTAGCTGGGATTACAGGTGTGAGCCACCGGTACCCAGCATATCTGATTAACTTCTGGCTGCCCCTGACCATCTGGCTGCCCCCATCCTTATCAGATTGGACATTCCATGAGGGTCTCATTAGTCCATCTGTTCTTGAAGCTTATTGCCTACATTTTATGACTACACTCATTATTCTGGTGAGACCCCTTTCTTTGTTTATCTTGGGAAAGTTTGCTCTGTTACTCTCCTTTTAGGGGTCTATATTTCATCCCTTCTGACATCTGTCCTTAGGAATGTTTTATCTTGTTTCCCTTATGTAGGAAGAAAAACTGCTGTGCTTTACCACCTGCGTGAAAAGCCGCTTCTCATGTCTCCCTAAATGTTTGGTTTTAAGGATGGCTTCCTGTCTCCTTTATCTAAAGCAAAGTTACTTCTGCCATCTGTCCCTTTACATCTCCAGGATCATTTCTGTAGCTTGTCCCCAGAAACATTCTGCTATTCTATTTCCCTCACACTTGTCGCCTTATAGTAAGGGGGCTTACCGTAAATGGAAGAATCAGCTTAGGTTGGGTCTTTTCTGTCAAAGGATTTAATCAGTAATAACCACCTCACTAACTAGCTTCCCATATGCTTGCTTTATGGACTCTGCTTAACTTGATAAAATTTCTGTTAAGAACAAATGGGTGTTATCCTCAGACAGGCAAAAATTCCACTAAATGCCCTGGTTCTGGAGCTGATGACCTAAAACAGTTATTGCTTCCCTGAACTTGCAAACTTCTTTGTCTTCAAAGCCCCCTCCTGACCCAACCCCTTTCCAGTTAGCCAACCAGGTAGACTGTGAACCCCAAATCTACCCAATCCAGGGGAGGGGCAACATTGCATTACAAATAAAACCCAAGTGGACTTCCTGTGTGGTGTGCTTGCTTCCCAAATTCTTTGTCTATGGCACACCCTTCTGCAGAAGTAAATTTTGCCTTGCCTGTTGACTTCTGAATTGTGTCATGTCTCTCATGACATTCCAATATCTTCAAGATATTTCTAACAACAAATATCAGACTAGTAGTTACTTCTGGATAGAAGGGAGAATAGAGTAGTAAGAAGGGAAGGAAGGATTCTGCATACTAGAAATATTCCATTTCTTGGCCTGAGTTGTAGTTAAATCGATGTTCATTTTGTGATAAATCATTCATAATTTGTTCATTTTGTGCATACATGTTATATTGTACAAATAAAATTTTGAAAAAAATTAATGTCCAAGGGTAACCAGAGAAATTTTAAAGATTGCGAGAAGGCAGTATTGTATAAAGCTTAGCAATTGATACAGTTGCTATGGGAGAAGCTAGATAAGGGAATAGAAAATAAAGACTCCTAAAAAAATGATCATGAAACTAGAATATCTTGGTACCTAACAAAGGTGGCATTATAATCACTAGGAACTGAAAACTTTGCGAGAAGCATCCTAGGATGGAACCTTGGCAATGGCTACAAGAGAAGCTCTTGCTAAAACTTACTCCTTGATTAAACCGTTGAGAATGTAAAAATAGAGCCCCGCCCTTCGACCTTCTGTTCCAGACGCGTTGTCCTTTTTGGCCGCTAGATGGCATCTGGAGGCTCGGGAGCGCCAGTCGGCTGCGCATGCGCACTGCTCTTCGGCTTCGCCGTGGGATCTACGCTTGCGCATGCGACTGTGCACACGGCGTTTATCCGTGCGCATTGCGCTCATGTACGCACTCTCGCGTGGACACGCGTAATCGCACCGTCCCGTTATTCCAGTTTTTCTGGGAACCACCCCCCCCCGACCAAGCCTAGCCGACCCTGCGGTCCGAGATGTCCCAGCTCCCAACAAACACTAGTGTCCCGCAGACGGGCGCGGCGAGTGGCGACAGCGGTGTCCCGCAGGCGGAGGTAGGCGGCGGGAGGCGGGAGCCGACCCCAGCGCAGCCTGAGGAGGTCCGGGGAGGCCCGATGGCGGCGGCCAGGGGAGGCCGGATGGCAGCGGCTAGGGAAGGCCGGGTGGCGGAGGCCAGGGGCGGCCTGGCGGTGGCGGCGGCCAGGGAAGGCCCGGCGGCGGCGGCTGCGGCGGCGGGGTCCAGGGACGCCCGGATGGTGGAGGTGGCGCGACTGTTGGGGGAACCGCTGGAGGAGGAGGCTCCCGAACCCCGGCCGCGGTCCAGATCGAGCATCGCCGGGGGCCTGGCCGCGCTACCCTACCTCCGCCTTCGCCATCCTCTGAGCGTCCTGGGCATCAACTACCAGCAGTTCCTCCGCCACTACCTGGAAAACTACCCGATCGCGCCGGGCCGGATCCAGGAACTGGAGGAGCGCCGCCGGCGGTTCGTGGAGGCCTGCCGAGCCCGCGAGGCGGCTTTCGACGCCGAGTACCTGCGCAACCCGCGGAGGGTGGACTTCGACATCCTCACATTCACCATCGCGCTGACCGCGTCCGAGGTCATCAACCCGCTGATTGAAGAACTGGGCTGCGACAAGTTCATCAACAGAGAGTAGAGGAGGGAGGGGACGCCGCGACAAGGCCAGTGTGTTGAGAAGGCTGGGGAACAGCATCCGAAAAGAGAGAGGGGACTGGGTGCCGCTCAGTGGTTACGGCGCTTGCCTGGCACGCGCCGGCTTCCGTCCCCAGCGCCGCACCCAGATGCCCAAAGCGCACCTGTGACGTCCCTTTCAGTTTGTGGTTGATCCAGATTCTTTCCCCCTTCCTCCGCCTTATGGAAAATGCCCTTCAACGTGATTTCGTTAAAAAGTAAATGGATGGCTTTTGTGAAATTGAGACTTGGTGAAGAAACATTGCCAATAATAGAGGTTATGATGGAGGAAGAAGACGTAATAGTGAGAGCTGCTTTAGGATCAGAAGGCTATGGAAAGGATTTGACGTTGTCAGAATGTGTGCTCCCTTCATGGAAGTCAGATTCAACAGAAGTTTGTAGTGTAAGACTGGTTTTGTGTTTCCTGAGGCATTTCAAATAGCAAGCAAAGGAAATATTGTATATATTACATGATAAATCGTGTTTTCAAAAATGCTAAATCGATGGATATTTTTCTTCTCTTTCAGTTTTTAATCTATAAAGGTTTGTGGTCAGTCATCTATTCATAATCCCCAAGCATATAAAATACAATGAGAAGGCTTCCATCCTTGACCCTTTAGGCTTTCCTAGTAGTCACACAGCTCTTCGTGTTCTAGTCTCATTGTGTGTACACAAGCAACTGTAAACCTGAACTTACTCTTTTTCATTTCTTTACAAAAGTTGGCATATTTACTGGCTCACATGTTGATTTTTCATTAAGAACATTTTGTTGTTGTTAGGTACTGGGGTTTGAACTCAGAGCCTGTACCTTGAGCCATTTCACCTGCTCTTTTTTGTGATGGGTTTTTTTGAGATAGGGTCTCAAACTATTTGCCTGGGCAGGCTTTGAACTGAAGTCCTCCTGATCTCTGCCGCCTGAGTAGCTAGGATTACATGCATGAGCCACCAGTGCCCGGAAAGAACATTTTTTAAGGTGGTACTGGAATTTGAACTCAGCACCTTATGCTTGCTGGGCAAGTGCTCTGCCACTGGAGCTACGCCTCCAGCCCTTTTTGCTTTAGTTATTTTTTGGATAGGGTCTAGCTTTTGTGCCCTCTGCCAGCGTCCCACCCTGTTCCTCCTGCCTATGTCCCTATAGCTAGGACTATAGGCGCATGCCACCACATCCAGCTTACTCATTGAGATTGGGGAGGGGGTCTCATGGACTTTTTTGCCCAGACTGGTCTGTAACCTCAATCCTCGAGTATCTGGGAGTATAGGCATGTTCTTCCATGCTAAGAATATTGTCTTCAGGATCCTTCCAGACTGGGCCCTGGCTACTCACATCTGTAATCCTGGCTACTTGGGAGGCTGAGTTCAGGATGATCAAGGTTCAAGGCCAACTCAGGCAAACAGTTCATGGACTCCATCTCCAAAATAACCAGAGCAAAATGGACCAGAGGTGTGGCTCAAGTAGGAGAGCACCTGCTTTGTAAGCCGGAAGCCCTAAGTTCAAATCCCAGTGTTGCATTCACCTGCCCAACCCCTGCCCAAGAGAAAAGAGAAGATCCTTCCAAACCACTATTCTTCCCATTCTGTGCTTGTGTTGTAATTAACCAGAAATATATTGATGGACATTTAAGCTGTTTCTCATCATTTTCTATTGCCCAAAAAAAAAAATTGCTGTAGTAGTTCCTCTTGTGTGCATATCACGTGGTGTGTATGCAAATACAGTATTGTTTCAATTCTGAATGTCCTTTTCATATTTTAATATCTCAAACTTGGGGAGCACTTATATTTGGTGGTGTAATCCAGCATTTTTTATGAGGCTTTCATAAACTAATGATGTATCTTAAAATCAGTAGCTTTTTAGATTCTTTATAATGTGTAATAGCTGTAGGATGAGTTTCCAGGAGTGAGAATTCTGGGCTAGAGGTTCTCATTTGAAAAGGTGTAGTTATCACTAAATTGCATGCTGTACATGGGTCACTTCACCCTCCCACCAACAATTCATGAATATGGCTGTTTTCTTACCATGTAGCCATCAAATCTGGTCCTTATCAATCTTGATAGTTGAAAAGAGGGTGTGTCCATTTTCATTTGATTTCCTCTCATTGTAAGCGAACTGTCTTTTCATTTAAGAGTCATATCACAGGCTGTGTTCTTTTTCACTGTTGGTGGTACTGGGCTTGAACTTGGGGCCTTCACCTTGAGCCACTCTGCCAGGCCCTTTTTTGTGTTGGGTTCTTTCAAGATAGGGTGTCATAAATTATTTGTCCAGGCTGGCTTTGAACCATGATCTTCCTGATCTCTGCCTTCCAAGTAACTAGGATTACAGGCATGGGCCATCTGTACACAACTCACAGGCTGTGTTCCTACGCTACCTGCATAGAAACAGGAGGCAAAGTAAAACCTACTGTATATACATCCGAGCCCGGGCCCTGTGCCTGGTCTGCGTGGTGAATAGGAGACGGGCAGGGGGAGGGGGAATCATGTAGCCTCTTATCTGTGACCTGCCTGTTCAGATCCTTTATCCATGTCTCTCTAGAATAATTTTGTCATTCTTTTATTGACTCTAGCAGTTAGCTACGTATTGGTGATATAACAGTTCGTGGTATTTTTTTCCAACTTGTCTTTGACTTTTCTGAAAGCCTTTTGGACATGGAGATTCCGTTTCCTGTTTTCCCATAATCCTTTCTGCAGGATTTTGAATCCCAAGGTTTTCTTGGGGGTGGGAATGGGGATATGATACATGATTTCATTGCTCATTTGAATCTTTTCTTTTTCCCACGGTACTGGGGATTGAACCCGGGGCCTTGCTAGGCATGAATCTTTGAAACCATTTGGAATTTATTCTGAGGAAAACTATGAGGTAAGGACCCATCTTTTCTTTAAAGATGGCTACCTAGTTGTCCTAACACCAGTCCATCCTGTCCCCACTAATTTTGTTTTAATCTGCTTTTTCCTGTATCAAAACTGTGGTTTAGATTTTCTGACTAGCTCTAAATCTGCTAATGCTGAAACTGCTCGTTATATTTTCTACATCAACCTCCAAGTTACCTTATTTTAAACAAAATATTTTTTATTTTTTTTGCCAGTACTTGAGACTCAAACTCAAGGCCTTACACTTACTAGACAGGTGCTCTATCACTTGAGCCACTCTGCCAGCCCTTCAACAAAATCTGTTAGAATCATGTTGCACTCAACCCAGGAATAACTGCTGTCTCCAAGATAATTGAACTTTCCTATCCAAAAGATCTATTTTTTCCATTTCGTAAGACTTCCTGTGTGTCCTTCAGGAGTGTTTGTTCTTTCCTGGCTGTACCGAGGCTTGAACTCAGGCCCTTACGCTTGCCAGGCATGCATTCTACCACTTGAGCCTCTCTGCTAGTCCTTAATATTCATTCTTAATGTGCCCAAGACATGCTAGTCCATGCCTGTAATCTCAGGTACTTACAGTTTGGAGGAAGGAGGATCACCAGTTCAAGGCCAGAGATAGTGAGATCGTCTCAAAAATAAAAATAAAAAAATTCCCAAAAGTTTGTTTTTCGAGGGGCTAGCCAATTATCCCTAGATATCTTGTCTTTTATGAGACTGTTTCTACTAGACATTCTAGAAGCTTCCCTGTAGTCTTGAAAATAATTGTTCTCTGCATATTTATTTTAATGACTGGTCAATGTGTTAAATCTTACTATTTATAGTAATTTTTCAGATGAGTCTCAAATTGAGCTAAGAAAGTCCTTGGTTAGTACCTTCTGACTAATGTAAAGGAATAGTGGATAGTAACCACACATCTTACCCTGGTTTTGTGAAATTTTATTTATTTATTTATTTATTATTGTTTATTTTATTTATCTTTATTTATTATTTATTTATTTATTTGTAGTGGGCTTTGAGCTCAGGGCCTCACACTTCCTAGGCAGACACTCTGCCACTTGAGGCACCCTGCCAGCCTAAGTTTTGTGAAAATTCTTAACAGAGTCATCTCTTGTTATGTGGGTATGTGTGTGTCCTCAAGAATGGTTGTGAGCATGCTGGTTTATGCATTTAATCTGAGCTACTTGGAAGATGGAGATCAGAAGGATGGTGGCAAAAAGATCCCATATCAATCAATAAGCCAGTTGTGGTGGTGCACACCTGTGCGAGGGAGGCCATGTGTGGGAGGATTGTGATCGGCTAGCTGGGGTAAAAACATGAGACCTCACCTGAAAAACAAAAAAGGGCCAGGGGTGTGATTCAAGTGGTATTGTGCCTGCCTAGAAGCATAAAGCCCCGAGTTCAAACCCTCCAAATGATGGGGGAAGTGGTTGTTGAGTTTTGTGAAAGGCCTCTTCAGAGTCTATGAAGATGACCCAGGGTTTTTGCGTGTCCACCACCATGTTTAGAGTCTACATTTTTAAGGTCTACTAATGAACCCATTGCTTGTTTTTTGGGTTTTTTTTTTTTTTTCGGTACTAGGGTTTGAACTCAAGGCCTACACCTTGAGCCACTCTGCCAACCCTTTTTTGTGATGTTTTTTTCAAGATAGGAGCTCCCAAACTACTTTGCTTGGGCTGGCTTTGAACCTCGATCCTCCTGATCTCTGCCTCTGGAGTAGCCAGGATTACAGGCATGACCCACCAGTGCCTAGCTGGCCCTTTGCTTTTTTAAGGCTGTTTGTACTCGATAAGTGACATCACTATGACATTTTCTCAGGCAGCATTTGTCACATTGTGTCATGTAAATAACTTAAAAGTTTCCTTTTCTAAATTCTAGAACACTGAAATCTATTACAACTGTTTTTGTATGATTTGCTAGTTTCCCTTTGGAAACCTGTGAGCTGGAAACTTTTGTAGTGAGAGGTAATAGCTCTTTATACGTACTGGTAACTGGGGATCATTAAACTTGCAGTGGTAACTCAAAGTAGATAATTCAGATGAACCTTTCCAAAATGTCTTCAAGCTTGATTTTAGCTTCCCACCCCCTTCCCTGAAATGATGAGGTCCAAGTAGTCTCCTTGGTTCCCAAAATCCACCTGAATTTCCTGAGTACACCGCCCTGAAACATTGCCTTTGCTGAGGGTTCTTCCAGAATTTGGCTGGAGACAGGAGTCATAGGCTTCTATCCCTGAAGTAAGCTGACCTCTGGAAAAGGACTCAGGCTGGTGGAGTGGCTCCAGTGGTAGAGCTCCTGCCTAACAAGTGTGAGGCCCTGAGTTCAAACTACAGCTCCCTACCCCCCCAAAAAAAAAATTCCTAAAGACCATTTAAAAAAAAAAAGGATTTGTTGTCCAAATAGTAAGAATTGTAGCAACTCATACCTCCATAGTTCTAAACATTGCCTTCAAACACTTTGTCCAGAAGACAATACCCAGGGTCAGACAGTTTGGGTTCTTACGACTCTAGATCATCAGCTCTTTCGTCCATTAAAGGGCACTGCCCTGACAGTGATTGGCCTCCCCAGAGAGGGGAGCAGGATTGGGGATGAGAGGACACCTCACTTCCAGTGTTCGACTACCTGGGTTCAAGTCTTGGCTGTGGTGTTATCTCTGGGTCCCTGAGCCCATTGCTCCATGTGTTCATGTTCAGTTGTTGCCTGGGCTGGTCTGGAACTCAAGTTGTCCTCCTGCCTCAGCCTCCCAAGTAACTGGGACTAAAGGCATGCACCACCATGCGTAGCAGTGGCAATAGTTTTTAAACAGCATGATGCTGTAATCACATTTCCCTAAAACTTTGTCTTTGAAAATGTTTGTTGTTGATTTTGGTTTGATTTTTTTTTTTGAGACAGCATCTCACTATACAGTGCAGGCTGATCTTGAACTCTCTGTAGCCATCCTGGCCTCAGACACAATCCTTTTGCCTCAGCATCCCAAGTATTGGAATTATAGTGTACATCTCCTCGCACAGCAAAAATATGTATTTATTCATTGAGAAGCCCTGAGACAAAACAATAAGATTGCATGGCATTTAACATTTCTTTTTTATTCTTTGGTGTATTTTGAATTTTTATTTTATTTTTGAGATAGGGTTTTGCTAACTGCCTGGCTGGCCTCGATTCTCAATCCTCTTGCTTCCGACTCCTGAGTAGCTGAGATTACAAGCATGTGCTTGGCCTACTTTTTTCCTTTTTGATTGTACTGGGGTTTGAACTCAGGGCCTCCCCCTTGCTAGGCAGGTGCTCTACCACTTGAGCCACTCCATCAGCCTTTTTTATGATGGTTGTTTTCAAGATAGGGTCTCATGAACTATTTGCCTAGGCTGGCATCGAACCTCGATCCTCCTGATTGCTGCCTCCTTATTAGCTAGGATTACAGGCATGAGCCACTGGCACCTGGCTATTTTTCATATTTTTAAAGCTTTAGCATGCACTACTTTTACAACCAGAGAGAAATTTAAAGGAAATGTAGAGCTAGGTGCTAGAGGCTCACGCCTATAATCCCAGCTACTTAGGAAGCAGAGATCAGGAGGATCGAGGTTCAAAGCCAACCCAGGCAAATAGTTCTTGAGACCCTGTCTCAAAAAATAACCTTCACAAAAAAGGCTGGTGGAATGGCTTAAGGTGTAAACCCTGGGTTCAAACCCCAGCACCACACACATGCAAAAAAAAAAAAAAGTGTAGGACTCAAGGTATAAAGAAAAAGAATCACATGAGATCTTCTGCATAATTCCTCAGTTAAGGTCAAAGAAACATCAGCTGCCACCACACACCTTTTCCCCTTTGTCACAGAAAATTCCACACTAATTCTGATTCTGTTTTCATGTCCTGGAACTTTCTAAGATGTTCCAAAACTTCCAGTCCCTTTCTTTGTTTATGCCTGATTATCAACCTGTTTAGTAGCATCCCAACAAGAGCCCACTCTATATATCAAAATATGCTGCCTCATTATCCCATGTGTAAAAAACAGGATCAGTTTTTGGACCCAGACTAGAGACAGTGTTACCTGTTGTATTAGCTTGGGCTGCTATAACAAAGTAACAGCTTGTGTGGCTTACACAAGAGAAAGGCATTTTCTCATGGTTCAGGAGGCTGGGAAGTCCAAGATGAAGGGGCCAGCTAGGTCAGTGTCTAGTGAGGCCTCTCTGCTGCCTTGTAGATGAGTGTCATCTCTGTGTATAAAGTGACCTCTTTATGCTGGGGAAAAGAAGAACTAGTGTTTCTTGTAAGGACACTAATCCTTATCAAACTGGGGCCCCACCCTGATGATTTCATGGAACTACCTCCATAAAGTTCCAAACAATCACATCACAGGTTCAGCATAGGACTCTGGAGGAGGGGGACACACTCAGTCCATAACAAGACCTAGAAAGTGTATGGCACAGTTGCCTTGTACCTGGAGAGGACTCAGAAAATGGAAACAGTTGGTAATGATGTTCATGGGAACTTTTTTGGAAGAACAAATTGACTCAGTTTCTACTATACACTCACAACACAGATCACTTTGACGACTTCAGAAAGCAGGATTTCTCCCCACTAGTGAGCAGACACTTCTGCATGAAGGCCAGCTGTGTGTCCTCTCCTCCACAGCCTGTTATTCTTAGCTCTCCAAGCCCAAGTCAGTTCACAGATCCAGCAGGCCCTGATGGAGAGGTCAGGCACCCCTAACCTTGCACAGTTGCCATATGTACACTCCAGAAATCTTCCTCTAAGCCCTTAACAATGGGACCTAGGGCCACTTACTAGGGTGATAATGCATTTGAACAAAATGTAATGTTACCAGGGGGTGGTCTCGGAAGATCTCAGATTCTTGTGTACCCTGAAAGATTCAGGCAAGATGTGGAAATGACAGTAAAGTTTATGAGGAAAGGAATGCACTTTCAATTCATTGAAAGCTGGTTGTCTCCAAAATAACGTGAACAAGTACTTTTACCCTGGCACCAGTTGTTTTTGTTTGTTTGTTTGTTTTTTGGAGTTTTGGGGGGTGTTTTTTTGCAGTTCTGGGGTTTGAACTCAGGGCCTACACCTTGAGCCATTCCACCAGTCCTTTTTTGTGATGGATTTTTTTCACGATAGGGTCCAGCAGAACTATTTTCCCTGACTGGCTTCTAACTACAGTCCTCCTGATGTCTGCCTCCCGAGTAGCTAACTCCCAGGCACAAGCCACTGGCACCCATTTTTTAATTGAAATGGAAAGGGCTTGGAGCATTAAGCCTCTCCGTAAGACCAGCCTGTGAGGATGAAGTCACAGTCAAGGTCAGGAGGCTAGGGTATACCTACAGAGTATCAAAGTACAAAATATTATTGGGTCCACCTGAGTCTGGGGTTTAAGGTTTTCTAGGGCTGGGGTTTGAACTCAGGGCCTCATGCCTTTTAGGCAGGCACTTTACCACTTGATCCATGCCCTGAGTCTTTGTTTTGTTAAAGAATAATTATTGTTTTAGGAATTGATGTTGACCCACCTTAGAAGGGGTGACTGGAAAACATCTTGTGACATCCCAGTGACTTGGGTGGACTATTGTGATCTTAACAAAGACTCTTAAGTGTTGGAAAGTGCATTGGTAGCTCAAGTCTGTAATCCTAGCTACTCAGGAGGCAGACATCAGGACGATTGCAGTTGGAAGCCAGCGTGGACAAATAGTTCATGACACCCTATCTTGAAAAAATCCATCACAGAAAAGGGCTGGTGGAGTGGCTCAAGGTGTAGGCCCTGAATTCAAGCCCTACTACCACAAATAAGTGATAGACCGCCTACTTAGCAAGTGTGAAGCCCTGAGGCAGGTCACGGGGTGAAGGTGTGAAGACGAGCTTGCGGCAGGGTCTGGTCACCTGCAGGGGTGCGCACAGCGCAGGTGGAGAAACGCAGAGAAACGCGAATACTTGTCCCTGGGAGGGAACTGCACGAGAGGCATGGACACCAGAGACAGTTGGTCACCTTAGCGGGCCGCACAATGAGCTTTAAAGAGAGGGCAAACAGGTGCCTGTGAGGGAGAGAGACCCACCCACCCTCCGGAATGTTAGTAAGAAAGGAGCAGTGAGTTTCTCGAAACAAAAGAAGGGTTGTTTCAAGTTTATAGAATTAAAGTTGGAGAGTTCCATTACGAAGGGAGCTGGAGGGCTGGCGGAGTGGCTCAAGAAATTAAGAGCGCCTGCCTAGCAAGCGTAAGGACGTAAGTTCAAACCCCAGTACCGCCAAAAATTAAAGAGGGCGATCGTTGGGAAACGATCTTGTAAAGAGTTCCACATAAATGCTGAACTAGTAATTTAAAATACCGCGCAGTCCTTGTGCTGGGGACCGGAGTCCGCTACAGCCGTTGTGACACGCAGAGCCGCTGGGGGGCGCTGGAGGACAGCGAGCGGCGTTTACGCATGCGTACACGGCTTCTCACGCGCACCTGTTCAGACTCGCACCAAGGTCCACGCACGCGTACAACGTCCAGCTGGGTACCCAGGCGCACGCATGCGCACGGCCCCTAGCAGCCGTGCGAGGCGTTCTTTCAATTACTGTTGGAAGCGCTGGAGGTGGCGGAGCCCAGTCAGCGGTCACGGAAATCCGAGCGACGTCCCAGGGATGAGCACAATGGATGACATCGACGACGTCGTACGGGCGGGAGCAGATGGCAGGTGTCAGGCCCGGGAGCTCCAGGAAGCCCTCCTGGCCGCAGCCGCCCGGCCCGTGGCGCGAGTCCCGGGCCTGGAGTCGGTGCCACACCTCTACCGGCCGTTCAGCCTTCTGGAAATCCACCAGCAGCGGCTGTTCCACCATTACCTGCACAGCTCGCCCATGATCCCGGCGAGACTGCTGCGAGACATCGAGGAGCGCCGCCGGCTGTTCGTGGAGGGCTGCCGGGCCCGCGAGGCGGCCTTCGACGCCAACCCCCCGCCGCTCGGCGCGGACGCGCTGGCCTTCACGCTGGCCCTGGCCGCCTCCGCTGGCGGCCCCGTGCCCCACTAAGCGGGACGCCGGGGCCACGGGCGGGGGACGCGCGGGGTCGCCGGCGCCCCCGGCTTCTCACGTGCGTTCGTGGAAACTGCGTGGCTTTGCAGAGATAAACGTGTAAGAAAACTTGCGGCTGATGGAACCCATGGAAACCAGCCGAGAGGACAAAAGAAACGCAGGAGATGCGGTTGCTAGGAAACCAGTGGTGTCGCCAGGATGGCCAGCATGCCAGAGGGAAGCGGAAGTGGCCGGATTCGCGGTCGCACGGTCAGCCGGCGGATCTTTGTAGGGCTAGCGAAGTGCTGCAGATGAATTCTGAATATTCAAGTCCAAACACTCATTGTGAGAGAAATCTCAAGCCATGGGAAGCGGGTAGCTGTGGGAATGGGTGTTCATGGTTAAACTTTCTATTTGATTCTAGAATGTGTGTTCACAAGAGTCAGAAGTATCAAAATCTGTGCGGTGACAAGTTAACCTCCTGTTCCTGCCCTCTGCCTGCCAAATTGGGAACTATTTCGAACAGATGTCACTGTTGGCGACTTGGAGGTTTGTTTGCTTTTCCTTGGGTTTGTTGTTTTTACTTTGTCTTTTAACAGTTTCCTAATGCATTAAAAATTAATATTTAATACATTAAAAATGGAGATAGTGTAGATACTCAGCTTTTTTAAATCAGTATATTCTATACTTCTGTCAACATTTTGGGTTTTGTTTATATTGGAGATATTTCTATATTGTTTTAACAACTATAAGACTATCTTAATATAATGAATTAGTTATCTTTTTTTTTCCTTTTCTAAATGATTTTGTAGTTTCTGTGTATTTATAAAGTTTGCCATTTTCCATGGAGGCCACTTCTGTAAGTGGAAACTCTTGATTAAGAGGAAGTGTATTTTTGATGGATTTTCCCAGAGGAAAATCAGGCGCACTCCGTGCTGAGTGCCTGATTCTCCACGCATGCTCAGCTTCGGGAGGCTCTGCCTGTGCGATGTCCTTTCTCACTGCTGTTTTCATTTGCATGTCTCTTAACTATGGAGAAGGACACAGGGTTTTAGTGCGTAAGAGCCATTTGGTTTTGCTTCTCTGTGACTACCTGTCCACTCCACATCCTTTACTCATTTTTTTTTTTGGAGGGCCTGGGGTTTGAACTCGGGGCTTTGCACTTGCAAAGCAAGTGCTGTACTGCTCTACCACACATCCAGTCCATTTTGCTCTGTTTTGTTTTTGTTTTGTTTGTACTGCTCTACCACACATCCAGTCCATTTTGCTCTGTTTTGTTTTTGTTTTGTTTTGTTCTTTGGTATTGGGGTTTGAACTCAGGGCTTACACCTTGAGTCACTCAGCCCCCTTTTTTTCATGATGGCTTTTTTCAAGATAGAATCTCAAAAACTATTTGCCCAGGCTCGCTTTGAACCACAGTCCTCCTGATCTCTGCCTCCTGAGTAGCTAGGATTACAGGCGTGAGCCGCTGGCGCTAAGCTGCTCTGGTTATTTTGGAAATGGGGTCTCTTGAAGTCTCTGCCCAAGCTGGCCTCCAAACTATCCCCAGATATCAGCCTCCTAAGTAGCTAGAATTGCAGGTGCTCAGAACCACTGTTGCCCAGCTCTTTACTCATTTCTCATTCACTTGCAAGTCTATTTGTGTATCAGTCACTAAGGAAGTTAACCCAGGTTGGGCATCACCACCTGCAATCCCAGCTAACTGGAAGGCAGAGGTAGGAGGATCTCCATTGCAGGCCAACTGGACAAAAGCATGAGACCTTACCTGCAAAATAACAAAGTTAAAAAGTAGCTCAAGTGATAGAGCACTTGCCTAGCAAGCACAAGACCCTGAGTTCAAACCCCAGTACCAAACCCCCCCCCTCCAAACAAAAAGAAGTGAGCCCTTTGCAATATGAGATGGAAAGACAGTTTCTCAGTTTTGACTGCTTTTGATCCTTTGTCCTTGCAGAAGAGGGTTTGTTTTAATGTAGCTGCAGATATTCAGTTTTTTCGTCTGTGGCTTCTAGCCTTTGAGTCATAGTTAGAAATCTGTTGCCCACCAGGATTTTGAAGGAACTTAAGGGTTTTGAATGTCGACCTGAACATCGTTATTCGCTTGGAATGTTGTGGGTTCTGAGAGCACCACTCCTCCTCACTGCGCTGCTTTTCCAGTGCTTTTTATGGCTATTCAGTTTTTCTTGTGGGACGTTAGGTTCAGCCTGACTCATTCCAGTTTCTACAGAGAACTAGTCGCATTTTTGTTTGCGTGGCAGTAATTTGTGTACTTTTTGAGTGAAAATGGGCATCTTTGTGATGTCCTCCTACCCAGTAATGTGACATGTTCCACTCGCCCTGCCACACATGTTTGAAAGTTTCCTTCATATAAGCCTTGCATAAAAGAATAGTACAAGGTTTAATGGTTTGTTTATGGCTATCATGAGGTTTTGTTTGTACATCGAATGCTATTGGTTTATTTATTTTTGGTGCTCTATTAAACTTACTGTATCCTGTATTTTTACTGTGTAATTATTTGTATTTTTCTTTGATATACATCCATATCATACAAAGAGCAATGGTTTACCTTATCCTTTCTAATTATTAATACCTCCAAGTCCTTTCTGTTAGATAATTGCTTTGGCTAGAAATGCCAACCCAGAGGCTGGGCACCGGTGGCTCACGCCTGTAATCCTAGCTACTCAGGAGGCAGAGATCAGGAGAATCAAGGTTTGAAACCAGCCCTGGCAAACAGTTCTCGAGACCCTATCTCGAAAAAGCCCATCACAAAAAAGGGCTGATGGAGTGGCTCAAGATAAAGGCCCTGAGTTCAAGCCCCAGTACCAGAAAAAATAAATTCCAACCCAGTATAAATAATAATAGAACAAGAAGACATTGTCGGGTTTTTCCTGCCTTACTAGGAATTCTCCTAGTGTTTGCCCAGTAAGTATGCTGATTTGGGGTTGAAATGAATAATTGTGTCATGTTAAGGAAATACACACTTATTCCTATTTATTGTCCTTTTTTCCTCAAAATGGTTGGGAATTTTGTTAAAGCTCAGTTCCAGGCCAAGCACAGTGGCTTATGTCTGTAATCCCAGCTACTGAAGAGGCAAAGGTCAATGGTTCAAGGTCAGCTTGGACAAAAAGTTAGTGAGACCCCATCACAACCAATAAGCCTAGTGTGGTGAAGTATACCTGTAATATTTCCCATACCTGGATTTCCTCCCTAGAGATTTGCAAACAGGCCTAAAGAAAATAAGCACTTGCTTCACTAGCAGAAAGAATGAGAACTCATTTTAAAATCATGTATGGGGCTGAAGGCTTGGCTCAAACCCTAGAGTGCCTGCCTAGCAAGCTCAAAGGGCTAAGTAAAAACTTCAGTGCCACAAAAAAAAAAATCCTACATATGTGTGCTTTCTTTGTTTTGTTTTTTAATGTACCAATCTTGAGAGAGGTTTCTCAGTTTTACTTTTTCAAGAATTCCTATAATCCTAGCTACTCAGGAGGCAGAGATTAGGAGGATCTAATCTCTTTGAGGCCATCTGGGCAAATAGTTCTCGAAAGATCTTGAAAAATACCCAACCCAAAAAAGGAGTGGCACAGGGGCTCAAGTGGTAGACTGCCCACCTAGCAAGTGTGAGGCCCTGAGTTAAAACACCAGTACCAAAGGAAAAACAAAACAAATACTCCTTTAAGCTGAGCGTGGTGGACACAGCTGTAGTCCCAGCACAGGGGAAGCAGAGGCAAGAGGACTGCTCAAGTTAGGAGTTCAAGACCAGCCTGAGCAACATAGTGAGAACTTACCTCAAAAAAAAAAAAGTTTAAAAAAATCCTTTATTTACTTGAGACAGGCTCTCACTGTGTAGCCCAGGGTGGCCTTTAACCCACAGCAATCCTCCTGCTTCAGCCTCCCAAGAAAGTCCTTCTTTTAGAACCCTGTAAATCAGGCTCAAAATGGGACAAAAAACATGACCTCTGTCATGCTGTCTTCCTATGCCATGTGGGTGGTATCTTCCCCACCCCACTGCTGAGCACAAGTGTGTGAGGATTTGTGTCTACATTTTCTCTGCCAGCTGTGGTTACAGAGTGTAGACTCTGGGGCCTTAGATGTATACATATCTGGGTGTAATTTTTTTTTGTAGTACTGGGGTTTGAATTCAGGGCCTTGGGCATGCCAGGCAGGTGCTCTACCACTTGAGTCACTTCCCCAGCTTTTTTGTTTGTTTGTTTTGTTTTGTTTGTTTTTCAGATAGGGTCTCATGCTTTTGCCCAGACCAGCCTCTGGCTGGGATTCTCCTATGTCCACCTCCCAAGTAGCTGGGATTCCAGGCGTGCACTACCATGTCCAGCCTGGGTGTAATTATTTCTATAAGTTTAATATGCAGTTCTCTATAAGTCTTGTGAATGGGATGTCGTGTGTGGGGGTGCGTTTCTGCTGTGTGCATGTCAGTGTGTTTTACTTAGCTCACGTTTCACCAAATCTGTTTTTCTCACTGGATCTGGGAACGTGAATGGCACAGTCTTATTCCCAGGTCACCATATCTTTCAGTCTTTGTTCTTGGATGTGTCTCTGTGTCATCCTGCTTATGATGTTCCTGTGCTTCTGTGTCTGAAAGCCTTTATCACCTTGTGTATTGTGCAAGCATTATCTGCCATTTGTGAACAACCTGATTAGAGTGAGGGATTTCTCCCCTTGTGAGTCCAGAACTGCTGTGGTTTGCATAAGTGTTCCTCAAAGGCCCACGGGATAAAGGCCTGGGCTCCAGCCCATGTTGCTATTGAGATATGGTGGAGCCTTTGAGAGGTGGGGCCTAGCAGGAGGAAGTTAGGTTATTGGGGGCCTCCTCTCAAAGTGGGAGGAAGTTAGGTTATTGGGGGCATGTCCTCACAGGGGATTATGGGACTCCAGTCTCTGTCCTCTCTCTGCTCCAGGTGAGCTGGCTGCTCCACCATGTGCTCCTGCCATGATGTGCAGCCTCACCACAGGCCCAAAGCCAAAATAAACCTTTCCTCTTCTTAAATTACTTTATCTCAGATGTTTGTAATGGTAATGGAAAGCTGCTAACGCAAGTGCTGGGGAGAGATGTCTGAAAAGAGGACCGTGTAACATGTCAGAAGCAGGAGAGAGGGCTAGTGGAGTGGCTCAAGTGGTAGAGCATCTGTCTGGAAGTGTGAGGCCCAGAGCTCAAACCCTAGTACTGTCCCCCTACCCCCCAAAAAAAGATAATAAAGCAGACCAGAGGAAGGCGCACAGTGCAGGTGGGACACTCCTGGAAAAATGACATTGGTTCCAGGATGAAACTAAGAATTTGGGGACAGAAATTTGACACAGATCAAAAGCACAGGGCCAGTCCCTGAGTACACTGCAGACCTAAGTTACCTCACACCCTAACAAGTGGCCTTCCCCATCTTAAGTCCTGAGTCCAGGAACATGCAGGCTTGTGTGCTTGGTCCAAGGAGATTGTAGACCCCTTGGGTCTAAAGAAATCAATAATTTTCCAACAGTTGGTCGGAGGAAGACAATGTTCCAACATTGTGAGAAATGTAGAGAAAGTGTCTGACTCCAGGCACAATGGTTCATGCCTATAATCCCAGCTATGCAGGAAGAAGAGATCAAGAGGACT